AGAGTTTTTCTGACCGGCACTTTGGTCACTTTCCATGCTTGAATCTTCTTAACCATTGTCCAAGCAAAGACCATATCAACGATGTGAATATCAATCTATGACAACATAAATTTTACATATTTTGAATAGTATTGGCAGTCATAGTTCGAGTTTCCTTGACTTCCAGCTGCTTTTAATTTGTTTTAACTTCATAATGTTCTTCATAAATTTCTGTAGGATTTTATTTTCGTTTTTGTGTGTTATTTTACACTAGACATTTTAAATTAAAAAACCACTTGTCATTATAGCAATGAGGAAATTTAAGCCCTATGTTCTGTTCATTTCAGACATAGTAAGTCTAGTTATTAATGTTGTTGTTGCTGCTGTTGCTGTTGTTATTATTATTATTATTATTATTATTATTATTATTATTATTATTATTATTATTATTATTTTGTGGAACACCTCGCTGTCAATTTGAACAAACTTATGCTAAATTGAATGTTAATCAACTGATAATCTTCTTGTATTTTACGTGATTTAGGCATATATGTCTTAACGCCCAATATTGAAGAAATGATCGGATCAAGGCCTGGTCTGTGGTGGCGATTTCTTTGGAAATTTATCTCGCCTACTTTTCTATTTGTAAGTTTATTATTACTGTAAGTAGCCGTTAAGGCTTATTCGTTCTTTATACAGATGGAAAGAATCTGTAAGTTTAAATTTCATTGACGAATCTACAATGTAGTGAGCCTGTAGTTTAATTGTGCCCAATCGTACAACCGTTTAGTAGGCCTACGTCTACCAATGGCCTAGATTCTAGATTGAAGATGCCCATGATATAACGTCTCATAGATTCAAGGCAGGATCCATGTTTCCATATTGCTGTATGTGTCGACTTACCGTATGTTATTATCGTTACCTTTTTAATATTATTGTTATTGATACCGTTGCCGTTATAACATTGTTATCATCATCATCATCATCATCATCCTCATCCTCATCATCATCGTGATTGTTATCACTATTGTTTTCTTTTGAGAATATTTTATCATTATCATTTGGCTACTGCGCATGGAAGATGATCGCTAACCTAAACCAGTCTCGTAAGAGTGATGGAAAATTCAGTGTGGAGGAACGAAGTTGTGCTGCGCTACAAAGCTATCATAACGAGGCACCTGAATCCTGCCAATATACCAATTAATTTTTCAGAATTTATTGCAAAATTATAATAATAATAATAATAATAATGATTATTATTATTATTATTATTATTATTATTATTATTACTATTATTATTACTATTATTATTATTATTACTATTATTATTATTATTATTAATAATATTGTTATTATTATTATTATTATTATTATTATTGTTTTTGTTATTATTATTATTATTATTATTATCTTCATCATCATCAATATCATCATTAGTAGTAGGCCTAGTATTTTTGAAAAATATTGAAATTTGTATTTTGTCAGGAGACGATTTTAATGAATTCGATTTTGTTTTGGTTAGGTGATTGTTATCTGTAGTATTGTATATTACGAACCTATTACATTGGAGGACTACGACTACCCAAAGTGGGCTGATGCAATTGGTTGGTGCTTAGCCCTCTCATCAATGACACTAATTCCAGCCTTCGTTATCTACTCACTATTTACAGCTGATGCTATTACGTGGAGGCAGGTAAGATATACACGCTTATTACGAACGATGCGATCGACATAGTGAATAATCTGGTTATTAAACTAGTTATAAATGTATAAACTAGTTATAGGCCTAACTATTTATAGACTTAACATTGCTATTAGTTAGAAATAGAGCTTGAGCAATTTACCTTTGGTTTTGTTTCTTCTGGAGGGACGAGTTTCAAAAATTTAAGTGTAAAGTGGTACAATAAAATAAAGTGATAAGTAGTTTAAGACGTACAGTTTCAGTCATGAGCAGGTTTGACGAACCACATGTAGAGAACTCACAATCTCATGAACATTCCGCTTTGCAAAGTAAAATAAATTTGTGAAGATATTTTTAAGTGGGAATACGTATATGAAAGTCGTAGGCCTGACATTAATTAAGAAAAACAAAACAGTTGTATGCTACCTCTCAAATAAGCTTATGTTTTCGTTCTCCCGCAGAGACTTGCTTTAGCAATATCGCCTAGGTCAGAGCATGCTAAAATAAAAAGTTCCGGAGAAGCTGATAGATTTAAGGTAAAATGCTTTGCTTTCTTGTAGAAAAATAAAATCTGTTCATGTAATTTGTTTGTATCTTTGGTGAGGAATTTGGAGAGCACTTCTATCCAAATAAAACTGAATTGGATAAGGATTGGATTTTCAAAGAAATACCAAGAATAATCCACGAAAGTCCAACTGATCGTCTATAATGACGATTCCTCCAGACTGCCATCGCCAATCAGCAAACGGCGTCGCATCGTCTAGCGTTGACAGTAATCATATTTCACACGAGACCAACGGCTTAAACTTGTTTAAACCTCTCTTTCCGAAAGACACTGCCTTCCATCTGAAACACAAGGAGAGCAGCAGATAAAATATAACCGGGTACTAGCATCTGCCCAGGGCGCGTAGCCATCGTACCAATATTTGACAGACCACAATTTAATTCATTTGGTTTTGAATTGGAAAAAGGTTAAATTCCACTTCTGTGAACTCTGGGGTTAATGGTTAATGATACTTTACATTATTTTCTTCTCTTTAGCATAAGATTTATAATGATTGATTAAGAAACTATGATGCAATTTTTCACCAGCCCAACCTTGCCAGGGACCAACATATTAAAACCTGGTAAGAGGTTTTAATCATGAAGATTATGTCAATGTTCTGATGATATACAAAAATTTCGTTTCATTGTACAGTGTACAAATTAAATAGTATTTTATTAAAGAAATAATACCGTACCTTACACTTGTGTTTTTCCCCGACAATTGTTGATTGATTTCTTTTCCTACCAAAATTCAAAAGAACACGGTTCAGCTACACGCGTCATAGTTTTATCCTTCTTCAAAAACCAGAGGTGGCGCCAGGATTTGCCTGACGGGGGG